GAGAGAGAGAGAGAGAGAGAGAGAGAGAGAGAGAGAGAGATCTAATTTAACTAACATATATACACATTTTTAATCTGCCGTTATTACAAACCACCTCTATCTCAACTTTCTCATTATATTCTACTCCCATTTTATCCTAATCCCAGACACACACACACACACACACACACACACCTTATCTATCAGTCTTTTCTCCATGCATGCATATACTATAATAGTGTATCTATCCATCCATATGAATATAATATGATAGTGCATCTCGTCACATACGTACATTACCTATCATCCTCCTTTGCATACACGAGTATAGTACGGTAGTTAATAATAATAACTTCACTTATTTCACCTTATTTTTTTACACACATACATACGAAAGAGGTGTAAATCCGACCGAGCAACCTCCACGTGGTACACCTTGGGTAATTCTAATGCCGGCGGTAATATAACTTTCAAGTTTCATTACTAAAAAAGTATTTAATGAAAAAATACGTTGTTATAGTGTTTTGGAAAGTTCTCGAGATAGCCTATAAAAATATGCAAATGTAGGAGTTTCCATTTAAAAAAATCAACGTGATCTTGACCTGATCTTGGTATCACCACCCAAGGTCAAACCAACGGTATGTCTCACCTGTTATGTCTCCTATCGAACCTTATACCTTTCGTCTAAAACATTTTTTCTAAAATGTACTGTTTTTGAGATATTAATCTGAGGCAATTAAAATAAATCACCCTAATACGTAAAAGTAATAAACTTATATGATTTTCTCTTTCTACTTATACATTAAAGTTTTTATCATATTCCTTTACTTACCTGCGTCAATAAAATTTCACCAACGGCATAATAAAGACACATGAGCAAAAGAAAAGATATATTCGATAGGACAAGCCAAGTCCACTGCATAACTGATAATTGGTCTTTCTGATTAATAACCTAAATAGTCATCAACACAAGTTGCATAATCTTGAAATGCTATATCTTCTAAAATTCATCACGTTACATTAAAAAAGCATTGTACACGAGGAAAATTGACAAGGAAATTATTAAGCAGTAACGCGGATCAATACGTAAATTTTGTAGCATGTTCATATGCGGTTGTTTTGAATTATCGAGAACTGTAGGGATCACACATTCTCTTTAATGAAATAATTCACGCGCTATGATTTTTGACTTACATTAACTATGAGAAATCCTCGCAGAGAAAATAATATAGCAAAATAAAGTATCAAAGCAAGTAGCATTAAATTGAAGATATCATCAATCATTTTGATAGATCTGAAACAGCAATTGCATCTCAGAGAAAAATGAAATTTTATATCATGTTTAAATATACGATTGTGTGTGTATGTGTTCGAACTGCTTCTGTTTGGATAGTCTTTCTTGATAATCCATTTTGAGTACCTGATTAAACGAATGTGATCTTGAACATTATATTTTAAAACTTCATCGTAGTTGGGATACTTCTTCATATGTTTCAACCGTAAATGTAAAATTTCCAATTGACCATAAACGTGAAAAGCTAATAGTCCGAACAAGTTGTCGATCGCAATGTAAGAGATACCACCTACGGACGATGCGAATGCCTGCGCCAATAGCGTGAGCTCAAACTGTGGACTCTTGGTCACATCGTGTAGGTAGTATGTTGGTATCGGCAAATTTTTTCCAAAATCGGTTAAATTAGTCGCATATCTCTTTATTATTTCGAGACATGGAAAACCAAATATACTGAATATTCCAAAAAAGCATGTGAATATTCCGCACAAAGCAATCGTTCGTACAATTTTAGTACATTTCAGCATAATGTTCCGTTCCTCTTTAATCTTTACGTTCATCCAATCTCCTTCAACCATATCAATTAGAGGGGCTAAAACTGTAATAAGCAGTGATAACCCAATAGGCAAATTGATAGCAGAGTGCGCACAGATTGGCAGCAAATTTGGTCAGAATTCCATACCATAACCATAACCATTTATGTCTGCATTCAACTCGTGTTTTGGTGTTTTGTCACAGTCTGCTAATAAGCAATGGTTACGTTCAGCAGAAAGAGTGCTTTGTGCTAGGCAAAGCGCTTATTCGTAAAATTTTCTGCTGAACGGCATTAAGTGGTTTACGTTTTTCCAACATGTTTATTAAACGATCCAGCATATTGAAAATATACTGGGAAAAATAACGACCACTTTATAAATATGTTGAAGAAGCGTAAACCACTAAACTTCGTTCAGCAGAAAATCTTACAACGATTGCAAAGCTGCTGCCAGCGCATCAGAAAGCTTATTAAACTACTTTTATGTTGAATGTCGAGCAATGCAGCAGAATTGCAGATTGGCAGCAGAAATCACACAGATTATGTACAACAAGGTCTGGCTGATTTCTGTTGTCAATTTGCTGTCAGATCATTACAGGCTCTAATCGGTTTTTGCCGCCAATCTGTTCAGGTTGCTTGTTAGCATGTTCTGTTATATTTCTGGCGATAATTTAATAATATAACCAATATATTAAATCCTGTGTTGGATTTGATACTTTTTTGCCATAAAAAAATTTGTAACAGGCTCTATTAAAAATTTATTTGTGCAGATTTGACTATCTGAAGAATTATTATTTCGCTATATAGATGCTTTTTCGCGTCTTATAGATTTACAAATTAGTTTCACTTTATGCTAAAAACTAAAAATTTACCTATTTGCATTTAGAATTAAAAAATTAATAAATGAGTTAAAAATGGGTGTACTTGAACATATTAACTTTCCTAAATAAAAAAAGTTGTGAAAATTATTTTAATTATTAAGGCTCCTTGTACCTCGCTGTTACTATGTTGGGTTTGTGACATTAGAAGCGAGAGATGACATGCTGACGAATGTTTCGCGCTATTTCTAAATAAAAATAAATACGGACGAAAAAATACCTGAGATTGTTGAGAACACATTGCGGTAAAAATGATGCTATGCTATGAGTAGCATGAGATAGACAAAGACGGACAGCGAATCCCTATTTCAAATTTTTGTTTCTCAAATTAAATTGAGGAAACTTGCTCAATATTCATTTGGCCGCACTCTATTAAAATTTTTTAATAGCTGCATTACGAAATCCGATTTTGTATTAACAGTTATTTTTATATAATAAAGTAAAGCCACTGTCTTCCAGCGTATCGTTCGAAAGAGAGAATGAATGAAATGAGATGCTTCGTAAACGATAATATCTCCGTGAAGCTCATGTCTATAGTCGCGATTATCCGCACGTTGAATGTGAAACAAGGACAGCCAAAGATTTGTTCTTGTTTAACTTATATCAATCGTGGCATGGAACTAAACCTAATAATATTTACTTTTACATATACTGGATAAGATTCTAATTCCCATCATTGTCAGCTATGGCGCCACTGTCATCTCGATTTCATCATAAGACATATACGTAATACTCCTATACTGCTAGCAGAGCTCGAGAAAATTTTATGGTGCAAATGGTATTTTACTCTGAAGCAGATTAATTGTGCGTTATATGCATGCGCTAAAATTGAGAATAGAAATGCGCAGAAACTCGTCCCGTGGTTTTTATGTTGTGTCATTTAATCAGAATGTAACAAACTTTAGTTTTTGAGTTATAATTCTTTTTCTTCTATTTTAAAATATTCGGTGGAACTTCTACGAAATGAAGTTTTTCATATATTTCCTATGTAGGCTATACTTTACAGACATTGTACATCCGCAGAGCGACCAAATCGTCTCATTTCATCCGTGAGCGTGCTACTTATTGGGAAGACTGTGCTAGCAATATAGCAGTGTTATATATATATAGTACAAGGAGCCTTATAATATATTAATATACGAAGAACTGTGATGTCATTATTTGAAACAAACAGCTTTTATGTTTTCATAATTAGCTTTCTTGAGCGGAATATTTTGATAAATCTTGAGAAATATTTGCCGCACACTTGGATATTTATGTACAAAAAATTATGAAAAATTTTAATTATGTTACTACTCTTAAACAGAGAGATAATTCATCTAATTAATAAACGTAAACGGGTAGCAGAACAAAGCACCGTTATATCCACTTGAACGATGCATGCTAAGAATTAAGAAAATACTGTCTCGCACTATCGAGAAAAAGTCGTCTCTATGCTTTAAGTATATTCTCAAAACAAAATTCTTGAAAGAGTTCGTTGTATGTATGTGTGCGCGTCGTCATAAATATTTCAGCAATCAAGGTAAAACTAACGAACAGGTAGGAGCGTGTCGTTTTGTCGACGCTTTTGGTAGCCAAAGGAATAATTGAATAAATTATAATCGCGTGAACGCATATAATGTATACTGTCCATCGTCAGAAACACCCATCACTTTTGATGTATCGTATTATTCTTTCTTTACTGCCGCACATTGATAATTGCAGGATTGTAAGCATGCACGCAAAGAATTTTTTATGTGACGATACGAAAAAGACCACTGAAATAAAGCGTGGAAAGCCTACAACTGTCGACATTTTTTACCTTGTTGGGAAGTCTGATCGCTGGAAAGAAGGGTTGCCATCGAGTGAGCACTTTGATACTGCATTATTAACGAGTCTTTAGTCGCAACGGTTACTTTTAGCGGACAGTTGAAACATAGCAGCATATGGAGAAAGATGGCACGATGCCGATGCCGATAACTGTTTAGTGTTAGTGTCTTTGACTTGTATAATGGGCGCTTATGAACTCAGCGGAATTCTGTGACAAGTGAGGTGTTTAAGGTATGATGTTTTCCTGTGAAATGTTTTTACAATAATTGCTTCTATCAGTTCGTGAGATGATGTGTGAAAATCAGGGTTAATGTTACTTTTTAAAGTAATTAGTTACAGTTACAGTTTCCCTTGCTGAAAATGTAACTAGTTACAGTTACAAGTTACTGGCTATGAAAAGTAACTCGTTGCAGTTATAGTTACTGAAGAAGTAACGTGTCGTTACTTTTAAGTTACTTTCTTGAAATGATTGTAAATTGTTATTGTAAATACAAAAATCTTACATATTTAGTTTTACTAAAATGTAAGAATTAAATTTTATAATTAATATCTATCACATTAATTAGTTTATCTACTTAACAAATTTCAAATCTGTACTTAACATAATAAAAATTTAATAATAGTCTTGTAGAGATTGATAAACACGTTATTAAATTTATTAAATTTATTAAATTAATATACGATAAATTTATTAAATTAATATACGATTACTTACGATATAATTTTAATTTTACTGTACGTTTTTCAAGTAACTATTAAAGTAACTGTTAAAAAAGCTACAAATTACTAAAAATAAGTAACTTAGGTAAGTTACAGTTACAGGTGGGAAAAAAGTAAATATGTTAAGTTACAGTTACCGAAGAAATGTAACTATAACTGTAACTTCGTTACAAATAACGAGTTACTTCCCAACCTTGGTGAAACTTGAGTGAAAACCGAATTGTATGATGTCAATCATTTTTTGTACATTGCGTGCGCGCTATATACGTTTATTTTATGCTTTTGCATTTATATTTACAATAATTCTTTCGCGTATGAGAGAGAGAAACAGACAGAGAGAGAGAGAGAGAGAGAGAGAGAGAGAGAGAGAGAGAGAGAGAGAGAGAGAGAGAGA